GACGACTCTCTTGAAAATTGCTGTCAGTTTTCTAGTTGGTCTTCCGTTTTAACTGACCTGCAAAACTGACAGGTAAACATCATGTGTAGACGAGGCTTTAGTGTTAACAGAAAAAAAATAAAACAATATTTTTATATTAAAAAATATTCTGTAGAAAATATATAATATCGACACTATTTGTTACACTGCATTACATTAACTCTACTTATAAACAAAATAAAATAAATAAATAATAACATTTTTTAGGGCCATGATATACATTTCCTAAATCAAAATGTTATTTATACATTAGTGAAAAACAACGTATGACTTTCTATATTATACACAAAGACTTAATCATATGTCATATTAATCATGGTCGTAATTCTAAAAAATACCAATAAAATACTTTTTAATGCAAAATAAGTTAGTTACTCTGCTTTAAATAAATGAGGGTAAGTTTTTTTCTTAATTCACTTTTCAAGACTTCTAAGATTTTACTAATTATTATTCCTTGTATGTTTGAAGTTAGGATTATTTGTAGACTCGAATTGCTTTCCTTCCATCTTAAATAGGTCAGTAAATGTTTTCAAAAATTTTCCTATATTCCACGGAAAAGTACTAAAATATTTTCTTACCGCCACTTATAAAACGTATAATCAAAGAAAAAAAAAATTATATACTTTCCAATATTTTCCATGCTTTTATCTTTTTTTTATTAAGGCTTTGACTTTTTGACTTTATATCAATTCCCATAGCCCGAAGATATCGGTATTTAAGAGTTTATTTTTTGAATCCCAAAAAAATATTTATTTGCTCGGGAGATATACATTTCCCGAAAAGAAAAAACTTTGAAACCTAATTACTTCGTCTTCATATAATAATTTAATTTTTTTTGTTTTTGAGAAAAAAAAACGACATTTTTTGTCTCTGACTTGGAGAAGATTGACAACCAAAAAATGACAGACGACAACCAAAAAATGACAGAAAATACGATTCGTCTGTGAATTAAAACGACAAACAGACAAACTGTCACTGTCAGGGATCCTCCAATTGGACAATCTGTATAAAAATATACTATTATACTTATTACTCATCTCTGGATTTAAAAAGGAGATTTTTCCACCAAGAATAAAAACCTTTCCTTAATTTTAGTAGAATGATGGGAGATCTACTATCCTTTCTTCAGGTATACGAGTTATAACTTATCATAGTTCGGGGCTTTAACCAAAACAAGCATCCGAGACGGTTTACAGAGGTTAGTTTTCCATCTCCCATATCAGTCGTACCAAACTTCATGGCACAAATGCCATGAATTGTCATCTTGGCGTACTCAGTGATGTGTTGTTCACACAATCTGCATTCGCCGTTATGTTATTTTTTAGCTTTAATATAGTGAGGTGTTCGTTGAGGAGACTGTGTTGAGTGTTCTGTTAAAAACACCGTTAAAAAATCGAAGATTGTTCTTACTTAAATCAAGAAAAATCAAGAGAAATCTTTGATTTTTCTCGGTCGTAAGTTCTGGGAAATTTCTTCGAGTGTCTTAGACCATTGGAGGATTCCCATTCCAGGTTATGGATCGAGTCTTCCAGGTTCTTGAGTTGTGCGCTTTAAGTTGGTTTCCACTTGGGAACAAGGACGTTTCAGATCCAGTTAATGGAGGGTTCGCTTCTATTCTTGTTAGATCGTCTGCTTTTTATTGCATTCTATCCCTTGGTGAGCTGGCAGACAGAGTAGGAGGACTTTATATTATCTTTGCTTAATTTCTTCAGCTTCTCTAAGCTTTCTTTGAACAACTTCAAATTGATGGTTATTGAGTTGGGCGCTTTTAATGCTGCTGGACTATCGGAAAATATTGATATTTCTTGTTTCCGATAGTCCCTGTCTAAGTTGTACGCATCTTTCCATAGAGTACATTTCTGCCTGAAGGATGCTGGGGTAAGTGTCCATTGGTTCGGAGTATCATTGGTTTTAACATCAGTATATCACGTTATGGTATTGTCTTGCACCTGCTGAGCAAATGTTTCTCTCTTCCAATCCTTTTTATTGCTCAATACTACAGTGAGGTGTTTCTCAAAGTTGTACATTCTTGGTATGTCATCCACTGGGAGTTGGAGGAGTGCAATTTTCCTTTTGATGGTGTTCCAAGCTCCTGAGATGACAATTCTCGCAGCATTGTGTCCGTCAATAACCATACTAATCATTGTCGCATTGGCATATCTGCCGACGACAATGTGCAGTGGTGTTACGTTTAGAATTACCTCCATTGCTGCTATTCGGCATGTTCTCATGGCCCCTGCCATGCAGATGCATGCCATTCTCAGTACTTTGCACAGGTTTTACCTTGCTGTACCTGCCGTACGTTGCTCTAGTTTTAATTTTAGTTACATCTAAAACGATTCCAGTACAACATTCCTAGCTTCTGATCAACGATACCAATCAAAGGGCCCCCGTAAGTCGAGGTTCGAACAAACACGAGTTTAATACCGAAAAGAAATTTTATAGGAAAATACCTTTCTTCCCTTCCAATAAACGACTTCCTTTAGAAAGTCTTATAAAAGCAAAAGTAATATGTAACTTAAAACGCAAAATTTAATCAACTCTCGATTGGGCCGAACACAAAGATTTTTACCGTTAAGGAGATTATTATTTCCATCAAAGTCTTTTCACCGTCGCTTGTGCAATGACGTCACGCGGGCTAAAACGTGGGCAAGGTAGAACAGAACGGAACAGAGAGAGCAGAGCAAAACAGGTACGCGGGGGTGTATATAACAGCGTCGGGGTTGACCTTTCGTCCCAGGGCTGGCAGCCTGCTGCCGGATTCACCCTGCAAGTAGAGCTTCGCTGTTTCGGGAGCGCTTTACATATTTCAGACATTTCAGTGGCGGGTTCAACTATTAAATTTGCCGAAGCCTAGGTAAAAAATCAAAATAAAGAATAACCTAGAACACTAAAAAACACCCCAAAGCGGAGGATTCCAGTTCAATATTTTCTTCTTTCTATACTGAATTCTTTCTTCACTCATGCGATGCAGGTGACGGTACCACTTAACTATTTTCTGTTTAGTGCGCCCAGTAAGTATATGTACACATCATTCTTTCTCATGTGTTCATTTCTAACGTTAGTAATCGAGTAAAGTTAACTACATCTTCTCCAATATGATATCTCTGTTAAAAGTATTTTCTAACTATGTTTTCATGCCCCACACTTCTGTAATTGATTCTATCAATGTTACCAATAATTACATATATCTCTTTTTTGTTTTTCTTTGTTACATTATTATTTCACAGAAATATACATATTTCTAACAAAGATTTGTTGCATGTTTAGTTCGATAGATAGATCACTTGGTCCTGGTGATATATTATATGTCATTTTTTAATTCATCTTTTACTACTGCAACTATATTGCTTGTACGACTTTTTCATTGTTTAAGCAGGTACAAGTATTTACATCATTCCTTAATGCAAAATCACATAAGCCTTACATAAAACACTTATATTTTTAAAATTTTAATTATTTTATTTGCAAAAATATGTCCAATCGATAAGACAAGATATTTTTGAATAGAATACTTTAGAAAATATATTTTTCATATTTTATCCATAAATTTTACTTTAAAATAAATACTCTGTATATTCTCGGATTCAACACTTGTAAAAAAGTATATCACTTCAAAATCTGACGATACTGTATACATAAATATAAACTATCTGTATATGTTTATCAAAACTTAAGTGTTTTGATAAATAGTGTCATGTTGAGTAAAAATAGGGTATAATCTTCCAAGCTAATTCCATGACAGACAACACAAATAAAGATAGTACATCAAAAAATATTTTTGCATTATTTTCATATCAAGCCAAAAAATGGGATAATCATATTACCACACCTCAATGTTTATTTATTACTCTGAGCCAATCGCCAATTGGAATACACTAAAATAAGTACAAAAATCTTCTTTCTTATTACATATTGCATGATTTTTAGATCAGATCACGTGCTTGATTTATGATTAGCATCCAAAATATCAAAAAAAAATCTTAATAATTTATTTATAAATTACGCACAAACGTCTTCAAAACATATCAATGAAATTGATAACATCCCCTTATCTAATATTACATTATTATTATTTATCAGATATTACATTCACGCTTTTTGTTGCTTGATAAAATTTTATTGACAATATGGATTAAAATGAAATCTAGAAACAAAATAAATATTATTAAAAAATTATGTTAGAATTTTACATCAACTTCCTCGGTAAAAACAAATCTTTTTTAAATACACTTCTCCAATATACTAACGAACCACTTTGAAATGATAATTATGTTGTTATTTTAAAACAGACCAAATACATTTTTTCCTAGAGAAGAATTCCTACCTTCATGTAGTTTATATTGTGTATAGTTTTTCCTTTTGCTTTATATGCGCTAATTTTTTTAACCAATTAAAAGAATTCGCAAAGAAGCGTTTACTTTGTGTTTATTTTTCAAATTTTCATTAATTTTAATTATTATGAAACGTCCAAGTCGAAATTTAACTAGCGAAGAATACGCTCAAGCTGATGGTCAAGAATACGGTCGTCGATTTAATGTTAACCATACAACCATTTCACGGGTAGTGCAAAGATTCTTAAAATCGGAAAATCAATCCCGTAGGCCAGGAAAAGGTCGAAATCGCATTACAACACAAAATAAAGATAGATTTTTAAGAATTCTGGCTCTGAGACAGCGTCTTGTCACATACCATAGTTTACAGATTCAAAAGCGTGAGGTCCAAGGTCTGCAAATTATGCTGAAACAGTTTGATTGCGATTAAGAGAATCTGATTTAAGACCAAGAATTGCTGGTCTCGCGTATCAGGCCGACGTATAACTAAACACATATTGTACTTATTTTATTGGTATTATTTTAAAGACTATCCAAAAGAATACAACTTCATTCACGTAGCTTCCTATAAAAGCCTTTAAAATATTTGAGAACACAGAGACTAGATATATCAATATATTTACTTACTTCTGAACATCCAGGTACAATGCGCCCGACAAAAATCTTAAAGCCAAACGAAATGGACCTGAAAAAGAAACGAAAAATGTTAAAGTCAACGCATCCTTAATGAGATCGTTCACTCTCTCCCCAAGTCTATTTTGGAGAACCCAGAAAATACACCCGTGACGTCACTGGATGTGTCCAATCGGTGACATCACGGTAACTATTTCTACAGCACCGATACGCCGTGTGTAGTAAAGGTGTGCGAGTAAAAGATTATGAATGAAAACTGTGCGGATTTATTTTAAAACAATTATTTTTGGAAAGCATTTTATTATCGATGCTACCAACTTAAATATAAAGGCACAGGCAAAATATAGACGCTTTCAGATGCCGGTAGACGGCGTATCACTGAACTTAATTTACCATACACAAATCTAAAAAAAACTGCCGCAAAAATACATAGAAAATACACGAGATGGACAGAAAAATAGATTACAAGTATAGATTTCGGGAACACATTATAACGAGTGTTAAATAAATAATAAGTGTTCCATTTAAAATATCGAAGATAAAAGTCTAACCAGTTTTAACTCTCACCCCTACTATAAGCTAATTTAGTATAATTCATTCCACAGAAAACACTATTTTATTTGTCATGTATCTGTATACTAAAGATAAAGTTTTTAATAAGTATATTAATACTTAAAATAAAAAACTAAATCTTTCTCGATATATTTGATGTTACAGCCACCAATAACGCCATTTAATAACTTCCGACACACTTGAATAGATAACACGTATCAAATTTCACAATATCACGCTACACAAAATTAAAATAAAAAACTAACAGAGTGAAACATTTAAATTAATTATTAATGATAAAATACTTAAAAAAAAAAATAAAATTATTTATTAAAAAAAACAATGATGTTTCGCATGGGGGTTAATCACCGCGACCATACAGATCTATTGAGAGCCCCTTTTCTAGAGTTATTATGAGTTATAACTCATCATACAGTCTCAAGCTTTTGAAAAAGCCAGTATCTAAGAGCGCTTCACAGAGACAGAGGCCAGTTCTCCATCTCCGATATCAGTCGTACCAAAGTTTATGGTACAAATGGATGTCATCTCGGCGCACTTAGTAATGAGGTGTTCTGGTGTTTCTCCATTTTCCCCACAGAATCTGCATTCGCCGTTGTTTCAATCTACTGAGGTTTTCGCTCAGGAGACAGTGTCCTGTTAAAAACCCCATGACAATCCGAAGATTGTTCTTACTTAATCAAAAAAAATCTTTGATTTTTCTCGGTCGCAAGTTCTGAGAAATGTCTTCGAACTTCGAGTGTCTTAAACCGTTTGAGGATTCCCATTCCAGGTTACGGATGGTGTCTTCCAGTTTCCTGAGTTCCGCTTTAAGTTGGTTTCCACTGGAAAGCAGCACGATTCTGGTCCAGTTAGTGGAGTGTTCGTTCCTTTTCCAGCTAGACTGTTTGCTTTTTCATTGCCTTCTATCTCTTGGTGAGCTAGCACTCAGAGTAGGAGGACTTTATTTTCGTTGCCTAATTTGTTCAGCTGCTCTAGGCATTCTTTGACCAACTTCGAATTGGTGGTTACTGAGTTGATCGCTTTTAGTCCTGTTTCCGATAGATCCTATCTAAGATAAATTGTACGCATCTTTCGATGGCCGTGTTTCTTTTCCATTTAGAGGGATTCTTTTCAAGTTTTCAGACTTCGCTTTCTGGTGAATAGCACTAGCGCGGTTTTGCTGAGTTGATACTCCAGCTGCGCCATCTCTCAGTGATGAGGGGTCCTCTTTGAATAATATAACACAGGGTGCCTTCATATGTCCCCCGAGCGATCATGGCTATTTCATCTCTCTAGTAGTTCATCCATTCATAATTGGTGGGAGGTTACTCCAAATCACATTGATATTAGTACATGAAGATATCCCTTTAAAATTTAAAAACACAAAAAAACATCATCATAAAAATACCACGAATCTTGATAACAGAGAAGTAACAAAAATATCTGAGGCATGCCGCCTCACTGAACCAGAAAATTGAATATACAAAATTCATATCAATTCCCTAAAGCACCAAAATATTTGCTAAAATTCCCGTTTAGAATAGACCGGTTAAATCTGTACTGCGAGAAAGCTTTGTAGTAAGAAGCGAGTAAAAATTATGAATGAAAATTGTGCGGATTTATTTTAAAACAATTATTTTTGGAAAGCATTTTATTATCGATGCTACACGAACTTTAAATATACGGCACAGTCAAAATATAGACGCCTCAAGCAACAGACTGGGAAGGTATGCTCTCACTACGTAACCATACAGATTATAATTAAAATCCTCTATATACAAAGTCTAAAAAAAGTTGTTCCAGAAATAAAGACAAAACACGTACTGATCCACCTCTTCTAATTGCAGCACGCGCTATATATACAAATAGTAAACAAAGACATAATAGGTTAGGTCAGTTCCTTATGTTTTTAATAGAAATTATTATTTACTGAAATTACTTATATTTTTAAATTTGTAGATCAAAAATTATATTTGATTTTGGAGATACACTATCAATTTGACAAAAAGAAAAAATATATTGTTATCTACGTGAATGCTCTTGAGATATTAATTAATAGAAACAAATATATTTCATTCATTATTAGTAGTACTTTTTTATATTTACATTATTATTTATAAATGCGTCTATCTAACTTACTATTAATTACCATTCCTAACAACAAATTATGAAAATCTAGAGTACAACAAATTAAAAATAAAAAGTATTATGACTATTATCCCTCTCCATACTTTTTATTTTTTATGAATAATTTTCACAAATATAATATAAACTTTAGCTCTATGCTTCAATAAAATATGTTTGTTTATGCTTCAATAATAATGGAAAACCAAATATTAATAATTGCCTACCATTTCTAGTCGTACTAGTTGGTTAGGTTAGTAGCTTTACTTACGTTTGTAAACTTTTTTAACAAATACAGTTCACCCCAAAAAATTCGTAACCCTGAACATATAAAATGGTTTATATGTTTTGGGTTGCGACATACCTTGATCTAACTAACTTTAATCTAAAATTCTCTCTTCTTTTAACTATAACAATCTATTGTAAAATCTATTAGTAGAAATACAAAAATAATATTAAATAATAAAAAATATACAATAAAATTTATTGTAAAATCACAATATATTTTATTCTAAGTCACATACTGTATATATGTGTTTTTATCCTAGTTAATTAAAAAAAATACAAAGATATCTTAACCTGTATAAAACAGAGATTTCATAGTCAATGTCGTCTTTTTATTAATAGAATATTTCCATCCGTAAATAAATAACTCCCACATAAAATGCGCTATCTCGTTTTCAGATTAGCCACTTCGCTGATATTTATAAAATCTATTGAGTTTTGTGGGCGATACATTACTTTTTTAACCGTTATTAGGCAGCAAAGGTTTAGAATAATGAATAAAATGCCAAAATTTAACTGAGCCACTGAAAAAGTTCTAGTGGCATTTTGGTACCCCATATAAAATTTTACAAAAAACAAATGTTTTATTTTATGTTATGGTATTGGTTACTAGTTTCCACATCATTCAGTGGCAATATTAAGTCCTTGACAGCAATTTTTTTCTTAAAATATTACGTATTTTATAAAACACTTAAAAACACTCGTGATTTTACAGTCACCTTTTTTTATTTGCCAATTTTAGACATTTCTTAAGTATTTAAAACTCAATAGATTTGATAAGAGTGAACTTAACACCGAAGCTAATTTTATATATTTCAGCTATAAATAGAAGAGGAAAAATAATTAATAAAGAGTACGTAAGAAAATTTATTTAAAAAGAGTAACTGAGTATTGCTCAGTTCTGTATCAAAAATAGACCAAACCGAAAAAAAAAACAAATAAATGAACCTCAGATTTATTCTTGTCAAAGGTAAATGATCTTGATGTCAAAAATAAACCCCTCTATAAAAAACCGTGTCAAGGTTGTGTAAAAAAAACTATTTACTAAAAAATAAATATGTATTAGAGCCCAAAGGAAAATTTTTGACCTGCAAGAAAATTATCGAAGACGAACTTTATGTATTATGGTAAAAAGAAATTTGACACACGCAAGACAAAAACCAAATAGGTTTGAGTGGAAAGAAATCATAAATTATTTAAAAGAGATCGATAAAATTGAATAATTACAGATGCCTGATAACTGTGTCGATGTATTTTTATATCAAACGGTTTTAATTAAGTATTTCTGTAATGAAAGAATATTAATTTTTTGTTTGATGAAAGTATAGTAAATAGCAAATATTGTCTATTGTTTAACTTTTGACGTTCAATTGTTTTTTTTTCAAACGGCGGCAAGTAGGTGGTCAGAAGAAAATTCTGTGGTTTATTAATGTTTATGAAAAATATGTATGAGTGTATATGGAACACATAGAATCCGAAAAACAAAATTAGGCTAAAAAGAGTAATTTCTAGCTGAAGCCGAGTACCACTAGCGTTACGCATTAATGTGTTTTGTTTTTTAATTCTGGGTGCAATTATTCTAAGAAAAATTAATTTAAATTAAATGGGTTTACATTAATTCTTTAAGTTGCACCAGAAGTACCGAGATCTGCAACTAATCCATTTTCGGATCCATATTCTCAGTGGCGGATACAGGGGGGGCTCATGGGACCCAGGCCCCCCTTAGGTCTATAAATTGGGTTAAATATTAGGGTTTTGGATCAAAAATGGCGCCCTAAAAAGTATATTCTACATTATTTTTTATTTGCCGCCCCTCGAAAATAAATTCCTGTATCCGCCCCTGCATATTCTTCTTTTACAGTTCGAAATACGACTTTACGAACTGTCGCCATTTTGAATCAACTAGAAGAAAATTTTTGACATAAGAAGTGTAAACTCGAAATATGCTTTCAAGTAGTTGAATTCAAGTGAATTGATTCATCACTTGACACCATGAAGTCATCTAGAAGTTGTTGTGTATATAGTACTTCTTAATATAAACAGAGTCAAATCATATAGGAAACTGAAGCTCGAAATCTACCACACGCATGC